TGCATAAGGTGATGGTGTTCTTTTTCTCACACTCTTCCTGGGTCAGAACCTACTCATCTCTTCAAAACTCCCCTCCTGCATCTTCTTCCTTCCACTTACATGTTATCTTTTAATGAAATTCACTAGTTCATGATTTCACTTATGCCACAAATAATTATTGAGCATTCACTATGTGTCAGATGCTGAGAAAACAGCAAAGGGTAAGACTCCAGAGCCTCATACCCTAGAGGGTTTCACAGCCTAGCAGGAAATAATTGTTATAGGCTTAAGGTAAAAGGTTGCATGCTTTTTTCACTTTTGTAATTTAATATTAACTTTATTTTAATTTTGATTTAAATATTTTTTATTGATATGATTTCATATTTGAAGTTTAATAAAAGAAAATATTCACTTTCTGAGTTTTTTTCTGGACATATTATTTGTTTCATTTCATGATTACTGAAAATGATTTTGTCAGATAGAGAAAGAGTGTTAAAATGACCTGCGCTGCTGTCAAATATACAAGGTACTCCACTGATCAAAAGATTAGTCATTGATTTCATGCTGGGCCTGATGGATAGTCTGCTCAAGTGTTGGACTTAAAGGCTCCAGTCCTGTGATTACACAAAGGGCCTGGCCAATCCCCACCTTTCTGCCATGAAGCTCAGGCTGCCCTGGGGAAATCAGCTTCACTTCTGGCTTCTATCACTCACCTCTGTTTTGTTCTCCCTCTAGTGGCTGAGCACAGTGCCAGGTTCCAGATTCTATTGCTTGGAGCCACGGCTGCGATGCTGGTGGTCATCTGCACAGCAGTCATCGGGGTGGTCGTGTTGGTTAGAAAGGTAATGGCTCTGGCTGCACATCTCAGCCATGGGCGCCCCTACCCCTGCCACCCTGGTCCTTCCAGGCTCTCTTTCTGCTCAGCGAGAGACCCAGATATGATCTTTCCCAGTCCTCTCTGCCTTTTTCCTTGCACCTGTTCGGCCTGTTAGTGCAGTTATTTATGCTCTCCCCTGTTTCTCTCAAAGGGTGGGAGCCCCTGGACTGCTGGACTTGTTTCCTACCCATCTTGCTGTCATCTGTAACTCCTGGTTTCTGCTTATCCCTTAAGCCACTGCTTTGAGAGCAGAATTTATCTACTATGATTTTGATGCATTGTGGGCATCTGTATCTGCTAGAGCTTTCTGCACGTTAGCTCTTTTGATTTTTACAACTCTTTGGTAGTGCTTGTTTACCCAGCATGCCTGTAGAATGAGAAATAAACACTCCAAAAATGTAAGGTTAGGCCAGGGGCTGCGGCTCACACCTGTAGTTCCATCAATTTGAGAGACTGTGGCAGAAGGATCACTTGAGTCTAGGAGTTCAAGGCTGCAGTGACCTATGACTGCACTCCAGCCTGGGCAACAGAGCAAGATTCCTTCCCAAAAAAAAAAAAAAAAAAAAAATTGGTGGTAAAATGTGCATTGCAAGAGTAGCAGGTTGTAAATCCTCTGTTACTTTAGCTTAAGAGCTTCTATGGCTGAAAGAGTAATGAACGGGGAATTGAAAGATTTAGTTTCCAGTTTTGACACTGACTGTATGCTTTTAGGAAAGTTACTTAATCTTGCAAGGTCTTCATTTCCTTACATATAAAATGGGGATTTGTCTTGGTCTATTATCTGCTACTGTAACAGAATACAATATATTGGGAAATTTATAAAGAAAAGAAGTTTATTTGGCTCGTGGTTCTGGAGGCTGGGAAGTCCAGAGCATGGTGGATTTGGCAAGGTTCATCCTGTGGCAGAAGGCATCATGCAATGAGTGAGTGCATGTGAGAGACAGAGAGAGAAATGGGGCCAAACTCATCCTTTTAATTAGGAACTTACTCCCATGATACCTAACCCACTCCTGAGATAATGACGTTAATCCCTTCCTCAGGGCAGATCCCTCGCGGTCTAATCACCTCTTAAAAGCATTACCACTTAATACTATTACAATGGTAATTAAGTTTCCAACACGAGGATTTTTGGGGGACACATTAGAACCATAGCTGTATTATCATTTTGCTTGCTCTATATCATAGAGTTATGATGAACAAGTGGCATATTTCATGTAAAATCTCTATAAATAATGAATTACATCAGTGAAATTTGTGTATAAATTAGAATTTATATCAGTGAAATCAGCTGCTGGTATTGATCGGGAGGAGTGAAAGGGTTTCCACCCCTAGTTTTGTCTGATCTCTTGGGTCCTTTAAGTCAGCTCAGCCCAGGTCACCTTAATTCAAGTCACCACATAAACATTTTGGAAAACACAAGTTTGTAATTTCTACCTTTATCCTAGACCCTCCTCCCAAGATCCTAACCCACTTTCCCTCCAACTCTAATTCCACTCAATTTTAACAACTCAATTCTGCAGCCTGGTTGAACTGCAGTAGATGTGGCTGGTGCTATTGGGGAAGCCAATAACCTATAATATTTTCATTTAGGTGTTGGCTATCACAGTAGACATAATGGGGAAATGAACCCTCTAGGGGAAAGTGGGGACCAGAGAAATCATTGAATAGAGGGGAGAGGTGAGGAAGATGAAAACTGATCTCTGAGCTGGCAAGAGAGCTGCTACGGTGGTTGGTGAACAAAATTTCTGCTGTCAGTCCTGTCCTGATGGTCTGGAATAAAAGAATCAAAGGTTCTTTAGAAGGAGCTGAAAAACTTTTCCTGTTAAGGATTCAAAACTAGTTGATTTTCATTCTGGGCACCTGGACTAACTTTGGTCATCTGGAGGGTGGAGAAAGAGAAGAAGGTGAAGAGAGGGAGCCGGTAGCTATGAAGTCCTATTTCTCCCTTTTTACAGTGTTTGATCCCCGCCCTCTCTGATATTTCCACTGCTTCCTGTGTAGCTGGAGTCCTCTCTGCTTCTTCCCTGTACTTGGGCTATAGTTGCCAGTCTTCTCTCTCTCCTTGCTCAAAATATTTTATACTTGCATTATTCAGAGTTCCAGGAGGGAACACATATAGTACTCTGAAACTGGGTTGTTTGAAGGCAGTTTAATAATAGGATTTCCAAAAGTCTGGTAGGATGTAAAGACACCATAAGGAGGAGTAGCAAGGTGTTGTAACCGTTCCTAGTTCTTCAAAGGGGAGTGGAGGATATAATTACTGGAGCCTGGAAGGAGAGAGTTATGTGGAGGGGCCTCCTTCAGAGTTGCTGTAGTATTTTCTGGAGGGTCACAACCAGTTCAAGGCCACCCTGCAGAGAGAACAAAGGGAACTACATACCCTCGTCTCATTCTTCTCTCTATTCCCCTACTGTTGCTCTGCACAGACTGAACTCAAACTTAGGGAGGAAGACAAGGGAACTCGTTGATGTAGTACATATCGTACAGTCTTCACAGGGCACAGAATAGGGTGAAGAAGGTTTGTGAGTAGAGCCAAAGGGCAAATGGATGGTATCCATACCAGCAGTTTCCATAGTCCTGAAAGCTGGACAGAGGATCTTGACCTCAGCCTTCTCTCGTGTAGTCTTGATCTCTTTTGATGATGTATGTAAGCAATACTCTTGTTGGCTGCCCAGCCATATTTCTCCTGGGCACACCATGCTCTATTAACCATTTTAATATCCCCATGGGTCAAGCTTTCTTGGTTCCCGTTGCAGTAATTACATCCATTTTGTTTCTTAAGTGCTGTTATCTGTCCTGTGCTATTTTGAGATCTCAACCTCATGGCTACCAGGGATTCAGTTCTGTAAAAGCATCTCCTACTTTGACCCTACCTAGCTTATTAGAGGAGAAATACCACCAAACTTCTCAATGATGCTGGAGCTCCTCTCACTAGCACATTCCTCTCCAGCTTAGTAAAAAGAACATCCTTTTCCTGCTTCTCATTCTCTGGATCTTCCCTAGAAAACCCAACAAAATCAGCTATTGGATTTTTGAAGTTATTTGGTACAAGAATTGGCAAAGTTTCTCTGCAAAGGGACAGATAGTATGTCTTTTGGGTTTGTAGGTCATATGGTCTGTGTTGCAACAATTCATCTCTGCCATAATAGTGTGAAGGTGCTTTTGATTATATATAAATGAATGAATATATGGCTCTGTCCAATAAACCTTTATTTATAAACACTAAAATGTTAATTTCACATACTTTTTATGTGTAATAAAATATTAATTTTTCATTCTATAAGCTTTTGTTTTTTATTTTTATATATTTTTTTATCTCAATAGATTTTTGGGGAATGAATAAGTTCTTTAGTGGTGATTTCTGAGATTTCGATGCACCCATCACCCGAACAATGTACGTTGTACCCAATGTGTAGTCCTTTATCCCTCACCCCCTCCCACTCTTTTCCCTGAGTCCCCAAAGTCCATTGTATCATTCTTATGCCTTTGCGTCCTCATAGCTTAGTGCCCACTTATGAGTGAGAACTGAGTTACTTCACTTGTAATAGTTGTAATAGTGGTTTCCAATTCCATCCAGGCTGCTGGGAATGCCATTATTTTGTTCCTTTTCATGGCTGAGTAGTATTCCACTGTGTGTGTGTGTGTGTGTGTGTGTGTGTGTGTGTGTGTGTGAGGTAGAGGGATCTGAGCAGAAACTGTATATAAGTTAGGGGTCTCCAGAAAGACAGAACTCATAGGAGAGATAGATGGATGGATAGAGAAGCAGGAATTTATATATATATATATATATTTATAGAGGAGAAGAACATATACAGGTATTTATATATACATATATGTTTATATTATATATACACATATTATATTATATATAACATATACATGTGTGTATATATAATATATACATATATATAATATATAACATATACATGTATGTATATATAGTATATACATATATATAATATATATTATATATATGCATATAAATACCTATATATATAGGTATTTCTCCTCTATAAATATCTATATCTATATCTATATAGTGTGTGAATACATATATATAGTGGAATATATATATATTTTAGTGGAATACATATATATATGTATATGCAAGTATCATTTTTGTATAATGACTTCTTTTCCTCTGGGTAGATACTCAGTAGTGTGATTACTGGATCAAACGGTAGTTCTACTTTTAGTTCTTTAAGGGATCTCCACACTGTTTTCCATAGTGGTTGTACTAGTTTACCTTCCCACCAGCAGTGTAAAAGAAAGTGTTCCCCTTTTAGCACATCCATGCCAACATCTATGATTTTTTGATTTTTTTTTGATTAAGGCATTCTTGCAAGAGTAAGGTAGTATCGCATTATGGTTTTGATTTGCATTTCCCTGATGATTAGTAATGTTTGTTGGCCATTTGTATATCCTCTTCTGAGAATTGTCTGTTTTTGTCCTTAGCCCCCTTTTTGATGGGATCGTTTGTGTTTTTAGATGACTTATTTGAGCTCCTTGTAGATTCTGGATATTAGTCCTCTGTTGAATACATAGTTTGCAAATATTTTCTCCCACTCTATGGGTTGTCTGTTTACTCTGCTGATTATTTCTTTTGCTGTGCATGAGATACTACTTTTTAAAAGTTTTTTTTTTAACACTTAAAATATAAAATTCATCTTTAGTTCATGGGCTGTACACAAACCACCAATGGGACATATTTTACTCAAGAAACTCGGTTTGTCAATTTCTGATGTAGTAAGTTTATTCTAGCATTCTTGCTTCTCCAAGCATCATGTTTCCCTTTTCCATAGTTTGCCAAAGCAGTGTTGTCATCTCTATTAACAGCAGTATATCATAACTGTCTTCTGGAGCCCTTGTGAGGGTGTTAAATCTTGTGTGTTCCAATACTGACAGATTATCCCTCATCCAGTCTTATGTTCTAACCCCCACCACAATCCATCACCTTCAGAATTCATGCCTAGGCATCTTCTCTCAGTTCCTGCCAGTAGATGTTAGCCAGGCCCTTTAGTGTATAAGCTTTCTCTTCTCTTAGCAGACCCAGCACTTCCTCCATTAGAGATTTTACCCTAATTATGGATCTGATGGCCAATAGGGGAGGCAAGGCAGGTCCCAGCAGGGATTCTCTTCCATCAAGGGGAAGTGGGCCACTTCTGCCACTCCAGATGGTATAAGAGAAGCAGGTGGTTCACAGCTCTCAAATGCATCTTTCCAGAGATCCTCGTTCCAAGTTTTCAGAGACTCCTCCTCTACTATCAAGATGCTAACTTTGACATAGAAAATTCACATAGGCTTAGAATCCAGCCTTGTTTAAAGTCTTGTCCCTTTTACAATTAGCTTATATACCTGGTCTTCAGCTGCTGGAGAGATGTGTGTCTCTTAAATGCTGCCAATGAGGAGCTGTAAGTCTCATACTTTGAGTTACTCATAGAGCCGAGGCTGTCATTTTCTCTCTTTAGTCCATTGGTACAATTTAGCAAAAGTCACTTTTGAGTCCTAATAGTTACTATTTACTCTATATTATTTGCCCGATTCCAGAGTTCTACCAGTTGCTGTTTACCCTATACATCTCAAATGTTAGAGTCATTGCACCAGCTCCTAGTTCTCTTCCATCTATGTCCCATCTCATTTCACCACCAGCCATGGGGTTTGTGTTGCCATCTAGCAAGTTAGTGATCCCATTCCCCAATCCTGTTCTTACAGGCTGCCTTCTAGGAGTCTTCCCAGTAGCAACTGTTTTAGATCAGCTCCCTGGAAATAGAGCCTGACATGCAAATTCTGGTGAGAGTGACTTGTATTGGGACGGCTCTCAGATGAAAGGTAGTGAAAGAAGCAGTATTGGGAGGACCAATGGAAGAAAGCTCAGCAAGGATGTGGTCTCAGCTGGAGACTTGGCTGAAGCAAGAATTGTACAAAGTGTTGGTTGAACCTTCAGGCAGGGAAATGGCCTTTTGGAAATCCACCTATGTCAGTATTATTTCTGGCTACTCACCAGGGAAGGCCCAAGAGCAATTCTCCAGAGAAGGGGCTGGTATGAGCTCACAGCCTATACTACCAGCTTCTGGAAAATGGGAGTGCTGGTCAGGTAGAGGGATCTGAGAAGAAACTATATTAGTTAGGGGTCTCCAGAGAGATAGAAGCCATAGGAGAGATAGATGGCTGGATGGATAGATAGCTATGCGGGAATTTATTAGGGGAATTGGTTCATGTGACTGTAAAGGCTGAGGAGTCTCACCCCAGGCTGTTAGCAAGCTGGAGACCTTGGAATGCTGGTAACATGTCTACGTTCAAGTCCAACAGCCTCAGAACCAGCGAGGCTGTTGGTACAATCCTCAGTCCAAAGCTAAAGGCCTGAAAACTCAGGGTGGGGGGCACTGTTGTAAATCCGGGAGTCCCAAAGTCATGGAGCCTGGGGTCCTGACGTCCAAGGACAGGAGGAGAAGAATGCATCCCAATTCCAAAGAGTGAAAGGCCAATTTTACACCTGTTTTGTTTTGGGAAAGGCAAGCTCCCAGGTGACTGGATGGTGCCTGGCTACATTTAGGGTGGAGTTGTCCAACTCACTTCACTCAGACTGAGACGCCAATCTCCTTTGGAAACACCCTCCCAGACACACAAGAAATGGCTTTACCAGCTCTCTCAGGTCCCTCAATCCAGTTAAGCTGATACCTAAAATTAGCTATGACAGGTACCAACAGCATTCACTACAGACCTTGAGAGCATAGAAATGGAAGAAATAATGCAGAGATTGCATTATTTAAGAGCATGGTCTTTGGAATTAGACAGTGGTAGGTTTGGGTCCCAGCCCCACCACTTGAGTAGCTACACCACCTAACTTTGCTAACCCTTAGTTTCCTTTTCTGTAAAATGCTGATTATGATGGCATTACCTTCATAAGGTCATGAGAAAACTTCAGTGAAATAATAAGTCATTTTCCCGGCATGTAAACTGGAAAGGTGAGTGGGACCATCACAAGGGATGTTTTGGGGATCATCACAGTTTCTTGTGGGAAATGTAGTGAAATTACGGATTTTCTTCCTAGAAGAATGTCCCTCTAGGCAACATTTTCTATGCAATTTACAAATCCCCTGAAATCCACCTGTGCATCTCAGGTTAAGCACCCTCCTATACACAGTGGGAGCCATTAAAGAGTTTTAGGCAGAAGTATGGACTGACCCAACTTTCACTTTTGAAAATCACTCTGCTGGTGACCATGTGGAGTTGGGCTAGAAGTAAGAGGGGTCCAGAGACAGTGAGGATGAAGCCCAGCTGAGAGACAAGACAAGGATATAGAGATGGAAAAGAGGGATTAGATTTCAGAACCGCCTAGGATTAAAATTGGATGAGGTTTTACAGATAATTTGAGTTGAACATCAGCCTCTAGATTTCTGATCAGCTGGTGCCATAAAACAGGGCAGTGAATATAAGGGCAGGTGTGGTTTGTTGGGGAGGGAATGTGATGGTTTCTTTTGAGATAATTTGAGTCTGAGCTTGCTGTGGGTTGTCAGGTGATGATGTCCAGTGAACAGGGGGATACCTGGGTCTGCAGCTCAGGGCAGAAGACTGGGCTAGTTTGGATAGAGATTTGGGCATCTTCAGAGGACAGACGGTGGTTGTAGATATAAGAAGGTAGATGCTCATGAAGAAACCAGAGAGCATGTTTACTGTGAGAGAAAGCAGAGGGCAGAACCGTGGGGAACCCCATGGTTTAGGGAGCTTTTGTGCAAAGAGAGAAGGGGCAGGCTTGGCTGAAGATGATAGTGGTGTTCAAAGGAGAAGAGAATCAGGAGAGAGTGATGCCACAGGAACCAGGGAAAGAGAGCATTTCAGAAAGGAAGAGGTCAACAGAGTCAAGTACAGTAAAGAGTAAAAGAAAATAGAAAATGGAAAGCTGCCCCACTAAGCTTGGTGAACAGGAAGTAACGAGGTGTGTGGCATGTGGTGTATGTAGCAAGTGTAGTTTCCATGGAGCAGTTAGAATTGAAATCTAGCTGTATTACGGTTGAGAAATTAAGGGCTAAGGAATTGGTGTTGGTAAGAACAAGTTTGTCCGTATGTATGTGGGTAAAAAGGAAGAGAGAGATCATGATAACTCTCAATATGTGTCATACTGGGGAGTAACATTTGAATAACATCCCCACATACTCACTTTGTAGTTTGTTTGTTTTTAGAAGAAATCTCTCAGAACCCATTCTGTGGAAAGCGGCCTCCAGAGGTTATCAGCTGGACAGGAGGAACGAAGTCTCAGTGCTCCCTCATCCCCAGGAAGCTGTGTCCAGGCAGAAGCTGCACCTGTTGGGCTCTGCGGAGAACAGGGAGGAGATGGCTGTGCTGAGCTGCATGACTACTTCAATGTCCTAAGTTACAGAAGCCTGGGGAGCTTCTTCACAGAGACTGGTTAGCAACCAGAGGCATCTTTTGGAAGATATACTTTTATCTTTGCTATTATGGATGAATATATAAGCAGCTGTACTCTCCATCAGTGCTCTGTGTGTGTGTGTTCAGTTGAGTGAATAAATGTCATCCTCTTCTTCATCTTCATTTCCTTGGCCTTTTCTTTCTATTCCATTCTGCATTATGGCAGGCCTAGGGTGAGTAACCTGGATCTTGATCATAAATGCAAAATGTAAAAATATTTTGACCTGGTTTTAAATCTGGCAGGTTGAGCAGATCCTCATAATGGCACCAGCCAGCATTTTGGGCTGCGAGGTTTTGTGGTTGACGACGAGGATGGCATGACTGTAGAGCCAGCCTCGTCTCATTTTTTCAGTGTCATTTTTGGTAGCATTTACTCATTCAAAGGCATGTTATTAATAAGGCCTGGTATCAGTCTCTATGGGGAGATTTGAGAGTGACTAAATCTTGGTATCTGCTCTCAAGAACTTACAGTTAAGTGGGGAGAAAACCTTGTCCTGAAAAGGTGTTATAGGAAGGAGAGAAGGAGACATAATGCAGGCCTTCAGGAAGAGATGATAGTTTGGGTGAGGTAGTTGGCATTGGCTTATCTGTGCTGAAGTGGCCTGGGACCACTAAGGGGATATTGAGGCTGGTCTGGGAGGAGCAGGAGTTTTATCTAGGGAACTTCGTGGAGCTGAAAATCCCACAAAGAAGGCCCTGGCACCAAGGGAGCCAGCAAACTCCAGATTTTATTCTCTGGGCAGGCATTTCGAGTTTCCTTTTGCTGTGACGTACTCACCCCTTAGCCGGCCTGACACAGTGCTCTGTAGGCTCTTCCGCCCATGTGCGCTGGGGAAGCCCCAGGAAACGCATGTGCCCACGGAGGGAGCCAAGTCTTAGCATTTGGGCCTTGATCTACCTTTTCTGCATCAATACACTGTTGAGCCTTTGAAAAAAGAACGTTTCCCACTAAAAGGAAAATGCGGATTTTTAAAATAGGGGCTCTTCCTAAGGGAAAAGGGGGGCCTGGAGGTGATAGAGGGTTTAAAAAATAAACACCCTTCAACTAACTTCTTTGAACCCTTTTATTTACTCCCTGACCTCTTTGTGCTGGGGTTGGGGTAACTGACTGCTTTTTTTTTTTGAGACGGAGTTTCGCTCTTGTTACCCAGGCTGGAGTGCAATGGCGCGATCTCGGCTCACCACAACCTCCGCCTCCTGGGTTCAGGCAATTCTCCTGCCTCAGCCTCCTGAGTAGCTGGGATTACAGGCATGCGCCACCGTGCCCAGCTAATTTTTTGTATTTTTAGTAGAGACGAGGTTTCACCATGTTGACCAGGATGGTCTTGATCTCTTGACCTAGTGATCCACCTGCCTCGGCCTCCCAAAGTGCTGGGATTACAGGCGTGAGCCACTGCTCCCGGCCCCATCTTAGACTTTTTTATCCTTCCACCGTCTCTCTCAGAGGAATCAACAGGGAGGCTAGATTTACTGGTGACTGATTTTCTTTCATGGGCCCAGGAACCATGACAGAATGTGAAGCAGGGCTGGATTTTGCCCGTGGTTAAAATAAAGCATTGCTTCCTAAGAATAAAGGCCCTGATTCCTAAGACATAGACTGGGGTTGACAATCGTCTTAGTAACAAGACAATTCAACTCCTATTCCGCCTTGGATTTTTATTTTTATTTTTCTCACCTTTCTACCAAATGGGTTACATAGTTAGGAAGAATGAACTGAAATCTGTCTGGAGCTCCAAGTCCTTTGGAAGAAAGATAGATGCATATAAAAATGTTGTTGTTTGCGGTGACAGTTTACAGCGTCTTTCTTGCAAAATTAGCACAAATCTGTTGGAAACAAAACAATTCGCAAATTGGAAGTGAACTAGAACGTAATGGTGAAAAGGGAGTAGTGTTTTGATTTGGAGGGGATGTATATTCAGCAGAGGTTGGACTTAGATTTGGGTGTTATTTAACATAATTATGGTAATTGGGAAACATTTATAAACACCATTGGGATGGTAATAAAATACAAAAGGGCCTATAGATGTTAGAAATGGGTCAGGTTACTAAAATGGGATTCAATTTGAAAAAAAAATTTAAACAGAACTCAGTGAACTAGATTCTTCTCTGAGAACCAGAGAAGACCATCCCCACAGCCAGATTCCTGGAGACATGCACTGTCCACCACGGAGCCACTTGCCACATGCGGCCATCAACCAGGTAAGATGGGGTTGGTCTGAAACAAGATGCGCTGTTACAACTGGTGTAAAATCACATCAGACTTGGAGATGGAGTATGAATAATAAGAATACTACTTCAGTAATTTTGGTATATTGATTGTCAAAAATGGTAATATTTTGGCTATACTAGGTGAAATAAAATATATTAACATTAATTTCACATTTCTTCTTATCATTTTAATATGGCTACTGAAAAGTCTAAAACTGCATATGTGGCTCTCATATTTCTATGGGACTGAGCCGCTCTAGTAGCTAACCCAAGCCAAGCTGATTGATACCCAGGGAGGGTGTCTATCTGTATCTATTAGTCTCCATTTCTTTTTCTTTCATTCAAAATAGTGTTTGAAGAAGATTTTCCCACTTACGGTGTCTTTTTGGATATATGTAGGGAAGCACAGAAAAATTGAGGTGGGGTAACACGCAGTGCTGACAGGAAGCAATGCCAGGCTTTTCTGGGTCCCCTTGTGGATTCCTTAACAGGAGGAGCAATAGAAAAATCTATGAATGAGCATTCAAGGAAGAATACATTACTGATTCCCTGCCTACATTCTGAGCCTGGGCATACAAGTCTGATGTATAATCCCAATAATTATACTAAACAAATGTGAGAAACTTTGAGGCATGGAGCTTTGAGACAGATGTTCTTCATGACTGAACAGGACCTCACTAGGCAATTTTATTTCATGCCCTTTCCCTTCTTGCCCTGTGAGCCCCAGAAATGAAGTGGGCTCAGCTGTACACTCAGTGTAACTCATTGTACACTCAGGTTCATTCGGATGCCATCAGTGCTGAGCCAGACAGTCAGAGGCTGGGTGTGCTGTCCACCAATGACAGCATTCTGGCAGGCGCACCCCACCCCACAGAGAGGGGGGCAATGGGTAGCCTGGCTGTCAGCTGTGAAGCATGAGTTTTGTTTAGCCTTCTGATTCTTTCAGGTGCTGCTTCTTGGCTGTAACTGGTAGTTTCCCAAACCCACGTCAAGTCATACCTGTCAAGAGGTCCAGGGGAGCTTTTTGTGTGGCAAGAACCTGAGCTTTCTGGAAGTCAGAATGATATACTCAAGGCTTGAGGGAATTTATTTGCATAAGATAGTGTAGGACAATGCTATCCAATAGAACTTTCTGCCATTATGGAAATGCTCTGCCTGTCCCATCCAGTACGGTAGCTGCTGGCTGCATGTGGCTGCTGAGCACTTGAAATTTGGCTAATATGACAAAGAAACTAGATTTTAAATTTTATTTTAATTAGGACATTTAAATGTAAATAGCAGAATGTGACTGGTGGCTAGTATATTAGACATCACAATTCTAGTAACTGCCTGCATATAAACACAGAGAGCTGTGCTTATAGGACACTGGATGGCTCTCCAGTTGTTACAGGTTTGAAATGGTTACCACCAGGAAGGAACTGGCAGGTTCTCCTCTATTCTTCTGTATCCATCCTTTGATCAAGACAAACCACGAGGTCAAAGCAGACTGTACATTTATTTATTTTAGTTTTTTTTTTTCCAAAAAGTATCTGAGGTAGCTAAGTGGTCCAGTTCACATAAATAGGGCCAAAACTGTCAAGAAGTTTGCAACTCATCAGGGTTAGGCAGGAATAGATGTTTATCACAGGACTTACCTTGGACTATATTCATTCTGACTTCATGTAGGCTGTGAAGAGCACCTTCTCTGGGACTAAAACGCTGATGGACTTCACAGAGATCAAAAAGAAATAATTTTGCAGTGTGGGGACTGGGAACTGAGGAAGTTGCTCCAAATGCTGAGCTCTGCAATTAGTTTCATGACTTTGGATAAGCCACTTAACCTATCAGAGACTCATAAATAGTTCTGCATTTGTAAAATGGCAATATTACTCTTTCTAAGGTTCTTAAGATGAGGTAGGAATGTGGCTGACTGCTTTGTCAGCTGCAAGATGCTGGGTTAATATTATTATTGGGTTCTGCCCCATGAGCATGTGCACCAGGTAATGCTTACAATGCCACAGAAGTTTTCATGGAGGCAACAAAACTGGTTGGGAACAACTGAGGTTATCTACCAATGTTCTTAAAAAATGGGATTTAAGGAAAGCTAAGAGTTGTAGATATACCTTTGGGGTCCACAACTTTTCTGTAAGCATTTAAACATTGTGCGTTTTAAATGAAATGATAATCTTTAAAGAAGTCAGAGATACCTGGATATCGGTAACCTTCTTATAACAGAGTATTGTCATTGGTTTTAGCCTCTGTGTTTGTGTTTATAATCAAGTTGATTTAAAGGCACGGAAGCTTAATTTATAAATGATTCATTTACTCCCAGATGGGTGGAGAGCAGTGGAAAACTTTGCAGTAGTTGAAATAATAGGAAAGTGAAGTGAGAATCGTCTTTATTTTGCACACGGTAGTGTAGGATGCTGTATTTAGAAGGATGTGTGCAGTATACTTAACTTTGTAAGCCACGACTTAATTCAGCAAAGCATCATTCTATGCATTCATTGTTAATGTAGACATTATTAATTTTATAGTTTTACTTGTATTCAATTTGTAACTTTTCGTTTTATAATTCTACAAGAGGTATAAGCATATTCAGTCCACTTGTTATGTTTAAGAATATTTAAATAATTATGCATATTATTTATTACTAGGTATTACAATAAGAATAATCACAGACTCTCTTCCATTGGTGTGGTCTGTGGAAGTATTTTTTTTTCCCCTTCATATGGGTGCACACATTACTCAAGTTTGAGAATACTGGTATGGTATAAATATTATTGAATTTCAGAAAACTTGACCTCAGCCACTACTTTAAGTTGTTTTGTATTGGAAGAACACGTATTTCTGAACGTCTGTTTTTATAAATTAGTGCACTCACAGCTACATTACAATGTTCACAGTGTGACTGTGAAGATGGATGAAGGATATTAAGGAGAAACTTTGTAAACTGTGAAGTGCCACATGAGCAGTGTATGTGTCATTTATAATTATTACAGCCTGTATGTAAAATACACCACAATGTTTTTAACAGCTACAGAAGAAAACTCAAAAGTGTGTAGATGGTGCAAAGAGAGATCCAAGACTCTGGGTGAAGCTGGCTGTCATCGTTAAGATGTTGGTTCACAGAAATCATATAGGGACAAATTATGCATCATGAAAATATTTTCTTTCTCTTTATACTTCTAGAGTATCAATAAGGTTGACTTAGAAGTTCAGTGATTGAGTTGCAAGAAGTGAATATTTAAATTCATAGAGATAATCATGAAATCTCAGCAATTTATTGACATCACCTCAGTCTAGAGGTCTCTTGATGACTTTTCCCATTCTGAGCTCAGGCCTGGATATTTTTGTGTTCCTCACACTGGTGGAAATGTCTGTCCACACTCAGCTTCTCCAACTCAAAGCTCTTAGGAATCCCCGAACTAGACTGCTTATTCTTTGGACCCTTTCTTGACTCACTCTAGCCATTATTAACGTCGTTAGTTTAGAAAGTCCCTTGGCATTAGGAGTCTGAATGGTACAATCTAGCTCTTGATTTTTTATACAAACCCCTTTTTATGTCCAGTTGTTAGATTTTAAGCCTTCTCATGGCTGAAATAATTTCCTTTCTTTTATTCATACATTGCACAGTATTGACTGAACTACAGAAGACATTGTGAATTTAATTTGTGTTGACTTTTCCAAAGACAAACAAGATATGTTTTCTTCACCATATTAGCAATTTCTGTAAGAATGATCAGATCAGAGAGCTCTTATGGGCAGGGTCACATGCAAGAAAAGATCTTTGGACTCAACATGAGTCCTGTATGAGTCTCCAAAGTCATCAAATAGGGGCAGGTTTTGTGCCATGAACTTTCCTTTTTTTTGCATATAGAGCTGAGAAACCCTAGAGTTAAAAAGGAGGCTCAGTGATAGATTCACGGATAACGGAGATGGACTGACACAATAATAGGTGGGCATAGTGTCATCATATGGAATTGATTATTTCCACAATAGGCAGACAGTGATTAGCATGTGGAAAAGAAAAACATGTGAATCAATCTGTAGAGCAGTAAGTGAGCCTTGTCATTTTTTGAAGTTTGAACATGCATAGGATAATACACCAATTTGTTTTATATTTCCTCAAAGTGACTTCGACATCACCAATCCTATCTGTAGTTTCTACTTCTTGTATTGAGGGGACTAATATAATCAGAACTTTTGTGGCCTTCCAAGTAGAGTCCTCAGTTTGGATAAATAATCTCAGATTAGACCTAGAATACAATGTGCAAAATAATGTGGAGAACTGCCTGAAACAGAAACTACAGTATAAAGAAGACACAATAGGAAACCAAGGGAAGAGTTTTTTTTTTTTAATTATTCCTTCATATTCAAACTTCACAAACAGTGTGAACTTGTACAATACCTCAGAAAGTGAAACTTACAAAAAAAGTGCTGGTAACATTTAAAAAAAAACAACAAAAACCCCAAAAAACAAACATCATTCTTAGCAACATCAATTACTCTTCCACACAAAACAGAAACCTTGTAAAATTTATTTTCGTATTTTTAAGGCGTAATACTTCCGTATAAAGTATATGCAAGAGATAAAACTTCACAGTATTCCAAAATGTCACAATAATAATAATATAATAGTATAATGAAGCGCTACAGTTAATTTTTCTTTTTTTGAATGTTTTTTTCCTGTTTAAATAACAAATACAAGTCACAGGTAAATATACGTGAGAAAAATACGAGGCTAATATTAAATGGCAGGTAAGGATACTGTCACTGTAAGAAAAAACTGGCAGGATGTGTGTATTTAGTCTATATTTTAAAGCACTTGATAGAAAAGGCGTATGCAAGGTTTTTCCAAACATTTTTTCTGTTTGTTTGTTTGATAACTGACAATTTAAGAGTATAATGAGAAAAAAAAAGGAACAAACTTCCTCTCAAAACGATTGACCTGCTCATCCCAAACCATGTATATATTGATGGATGGATGTGTGTATTTGTGGATATACAAATTTTTACCATGCACAGAGTGGTATAAGCAGTGTTCCACGCCCACCTGCAAAGATTGGAGGGTATAGCACTGTAGTCATTCAGCCCAGATTCCTCTTGGGAAATTAATCTTTCAATGTAAAGCTCTCTTTCCTTGCCTCTCCTTCTTTCCAAACTCTTCCTCAATTCCCAGGTCTTTGGTCTGAAAAGACAATCTGGTTAGAAAAGTTGCCCTCCGTTCAAAATTCACTGGGAAATGGAAACTGCATAAACAGTGATACACAGACACTGGAAATACCATTTGAACGAATGAATGGATATAATTGTGTGTGTGTGCGCAGGTGCGTGTGTGTGTGTATTTTAGGTCTAGATATAATGTGTGTGTGTGTGTGTGTGTGTGTGTGTGTGTATACAAATTAGCAATTGCAAAAAAGGGACCATATTCCTTTCCAGACTAAGATAAAATGTGATAAGAAACATATGTGTGCAGGGAAAAGAGTTTCTTCGAATCTTATCACAACACTGCGGTGGGAAAATCAGGAAATGGATTCACCTTTCAGCAGTCACCACAGTAAACTTCATTGAGAACATACATGCCCAGATATCTGTTCTGTGCACATGTGTATGTTAACAGCTAGCCATTCAGCCAACAGGTAACAGAAAGACAGCAGATAGCAAAACACATCAATAAGGTGCTCAAAGAAAAAAGTGGCATCCACTTCTCAAATGGATGGCCACGTTAAGGTGCTTCAAAAAAGTTTTTTTTTTTTTTCAGTTTTCATTTGAAACATTAAGAGAGTACTGATTTTCACATGGTAGTTCTGAGTCAGGCCAAGGGTTTTGAGGTTTCTAACATCTTTCACTGAAAAGGGCTTTCACTGTAGTAGTTTTGTTCAGTTTGTTGTGGGTCATTTGAGTTTAAAAATGTTTTTAATAGTCAAAAATAAATCAAATCAACATGACTAAAAGAAATAACTGATGAAATGGTATAGAACATTACTGCGTTCGCATCGGATCAAGATGGTTTTGCCCATTTTTCCTCCTTCACTAACTCCGTTCCTTTTTTTCCTTGTTACAGTCCATTTCTTGTGAACATACAGAAATGACCTAAGTCACTGCAAGTTGCTGTTTTTATTTTTTGTGATCTGTTGCAAGAGTCCAACCTTGTTTCCTCTGCTGCTGTTTGTGTAGCATCTGGTTTTGTAATGAGCATCTGGATTTGTAATGAGCATCTGATTTTGTTATGTGCATGTGGATATACATGCACATATACACACCGATACATGTATAATATATACACTATATATATGTGGATACATATAGGAAGCGTGTATACATTTATACATCATATAGTGTATATTGTTTCAACTGGAGATAAACTGAACTGGGTTCAGACACTAGCACGTGCTTATCTTTCCCCTGCTCCCTCTGTATATTTTAAACAGTCTGGAGCTTGAATTTATTTTTTAAAGTGCATTTTCAATGCAGAAAAACTGTAATCCACTGATTCCTTGGAAAACATTTTTGATGAGAAAAATCTGACAGTTCTCAGCCCCAATAAAGAGAAACCTGGGTTTGGTCAAGCCAGAGGCTGATGTGGCAGTGCCAGGCTTGTGCCTGAGTGATTTATGGGCATTCTGGACTCTGGGCACCTTAGCAGCAGCAGCAGCAGCACCTTTATGAGAAGGTGGAGATAGAAAAGGAAGAAGGAAGGAAGGAAAGCACAGACGAGGAAGAATGAAGTATTGTGTTTACGTATCAAAATTGCTAACTTTGACTATAATGGATTTGTGCAGTCCCTGCTTGGCCTTGGCTAAGAGATGCCATCTAGTCCCTTCTCCAGCAAGTGACACCAACCTCTCCATGGCCCCTGCATGCTCAGACATCACCCATATGTCCCCACACCTAAGGCTGACTTCTGTGTCAGCTTCCTGTGGGTATGTGAGTGCCAGCATCAAGTAGGAATAAGGCACCAGAGAAATCAAAATGTTACAAAAAGATGCAAACCCCATTTCAAAGAGCCTCTCCCATTGCTCCATTAAAATATTGCATGTGATCCATTCGTTTGTGTGTACCTAAAGTGTGTCAAATACAGTCTCTGAAAGGAACTCGAGGCCCTTCAGCACCAGAGCTCTTTAGGAATGCATCTTTTTTCTAAACACACCCACACCCCCCCAACCCCCCATGCCCACCCCACACCACAAACAAAAGCACCAAATCGGGAGAACAAGGCTGCTTGCCGTTGCTCACCTCATTTTTGATAAAAATCAAAGAAGTCTATGAAATAGAATGTTCAGGAAATGCTCTGAAATCAAATGGATTTAGGCTGTCATGTATCCTGGTTACTCAATGCTTTAAATGTCCAAAGAGTGCCATGCAGGGGTTGAAATGTTTGTGTTTAATGTTTAGGGGGAATGTGCTAAACAAAAGTTACTTCTCAAACGATGCCCAAATCTTCCATTAACACATCCACCTCCCCTTTCTTTTAAAAAAAAATGTAAAAAGGAAGAGGTTAATCTAACTATAAAAGGAAAAGATGAAGGCACGTGATATTATTCGGTCCCACAATCCTTAAGAAAAATGGTATTTTGCAAGTTAGTTTGTGTGTGTGTGTGTGTGTGTGTGTGTGTGTGTGTGTCTGTGTGTCTGTGTGCTTGCATACATGAAATGGGAGTTCAAGGGGCCATTGGGGCAGTAGTCCAAGGGAAGTTGGAAAAGGGGAAAGAGAGAAAGTTTTTAGATAGAAGAAAGGAGAAAGGAAGAAATAGAGGCCTCTCTTCAGCTTTCTGTCATTGACAGTCTCAAGATTCAGCTGCTTTAGAGTCCAGAAAGGAATTTGTTTGTCTTGGTCTAGAAAGTGCCCCAGTTAAATATCTCCAGTTAATCATGTTACAGCTTTTGGTGTTTCCCTTTTCCCTTCCCTCCAGCCAAATGATTTTTAAAAAAATATCACAGTTTTTAAAAATTATTTTTTCAATGTTGAAAAAATATGGAAAAGCTATTGAACAGCCTTAGGGCACTGCCTCTCCATCTTCACAGTGAGCAGACGGATGGATAATCCACAGAGTCAAAGAGGAGGCGGGCAAGATCCCTTGTGCTCAGTGGTCCCTTGCCCCACCTTCCTGAGGGCTGGGGGGGTCTTCACACCACCCACAGCCATTTGCCTCCTTTGGGCCCCTGCCTCCCGCTCCCATCCATGGAATGTGGGCTGCTGAGAAAGGCAGAGCCATGCTAAAGAATGATGATAACAGTAACAGGAGGGTCTCAGAAGCAGAGGGTGAAGGAGACGGGAGGCGCTCTCCTCAGGCAGTGTTAGCAGTGTGCTCTCTTGGCAGCCTCATTTCAGAATGGGAAAGCGTGGTTGCCCTCTGAGAGGGTGAAGTCCCACTCACATTTTACTTCATGAGACCTCAACTCTCAGGCTCACCACCTTTATACGTCTCTTTGCATCAGGTTGGCCCCCAGCCCCTAAGAAGGCAATGATCTGAGATAGAGAGGCAGAGCCCGGCTGTGTCATACAAAAAAGGGCTACGCACAGCAGGATTTCAGAAATAAATTTAACTTTGGTTTTCCAACTTTTTCAAACCATAAAATTAAAGCAGGGCTTCGGTGGCTTCGATCATCTGACAGCTGTTATATTTTTCTCATTTGGCAAGGCTAAGGCGGGGAGTGGGGGGAAGAGAAAAGGGTTTTCCCATAATTGGTTGAAGACACAGGGTGGTAAAATGCTTCCACACTTAAACTCACAGTCCAGTGTTTTTGACATTTCATAAATAGCTTTTTTCTCTAAAAAAAGAATAAAACAAGAACAATCCCTTTACTTACTCATCTGAAACAAAATAAACAGCAGTGGGTACAAACTTCTTCTTGTAACAATGACAAAAAACAACAATATAATCCCAACTTTTAACACGCATCTTGAATCAGTTATTTTGTTTTAAACCTCAAAACTGCAGCATATCCTTAAGGGCAAACTTTTCGATTAGTTTTTTTCTTTTTTTTTTAAATAATGTCTTCACCAAAAAAACAGTCTTGTACCAATAAAATGCATTCAAAAATAGAAAATATTACACAACAAAAATATGTATCCTTCCTTTCCAAAAAAGATTCTTCACAAAAAAATGTAGAAAAAATTCCAACAATTTTTTTCCTCTCCTAAACATTAACTTTCAGTCTAGGGCACAATTATTTATTGATTTAAATGTTTGTTTTTGCATAAAACATGGAAGATGCAAAACATTTACTGTATTAGGATTGTGAAGTTACATCCACTCCCACCCCTGCTCTAAAACAAAACAAAACCAGAAAAAAACCCAGCAAACGTTAAACAATGATAGAGCCAGTTGGCTAAGAAAAATATCTTTGTCCTTCCTTTACTGTCCATTTGTATGGGTTAATGGGCCTGTCTGGTATTGGGGGATGCTGAAGAAAAGAGATCAGGTTTTAAGATTGGATTCAAGAGCTTTTAGCATATGCTGATACCAATGAGTCACTGACAGTCCCCAGGTTGTACGACTATCCATTGTAAATCCTCAAGAGAAGAGAAACACATGAGGTAGCACATGGGAAGTCAGAGGACTGAAGTGTGTCTATGTGTGTACTGTGCACATACATCTTGACAAACCACTTTCTCAACCATATATATATACATATATATACACATATGTGGATATATATGTACACACACAAATTTGTTACATAGCAAATTTGTTTTTAAATATTTTTTCTCAAAACGGAGCTCAAGCATAGGTTAAAAGGTAATGTGGAAATCCAGTGGTATGAGGAAGGCTGGGGTTACTTCCTCCATACTTTCTTCCACATTTAACTGATCTGGACAATAACTGCAGTAATAACAAGATCTCTGATGTCAGAAGAATGTTCTGTTTTCTCTATCCCCATTGAACTACCAGGTTCCTTGTATATTTTCAGCATTGTAGTTTAAACTATGTCTTTTTCTTATTTGATGATATTAATCTTTCATGTGGGATGTAGTTTGTATGTGTATTCAGTACAAATAAATTTTTTTCATAGCTTTTTTTCCTGTTGTTTATTTGCTGAGTTTTTTTTCCTTGTGGTTTTTGCTTTGTTTTGTTTCTGATTTTTTTAAACAGTGAAATGTGTCCAATTTTATTTCCAGTGCATCAAACAAATTTTAAATTAAAAGAAGAAATAAACGTTTCCCCCATCTTTCTAATGGAAATGACTGACAAAAGTACAATATAATAGAATCAGGCATTGCCAAAAATAGCATGATGTGCAACCTCAATTACATCAAAGAAAACAAACAGACAAACAAGAATTAGAGAACATAAGCATGAAGGAGCCAAGATTACATAATCCCAACGATGGTATGATTGGCAAGCACTGGTTAAAAAACAGGTAAGGCTACTCTCAGATTTCTAACTCAACATAGTTAACCACTGCCTTCTGTCTTTTCCTTCAACTTTTAATCTTTTACTCCCTAGTTCTTTATATCTTTGAAATGAACAAATTTGTTTTTATATTTTTTGGTCTACAGTAGAATTACATATTAATAATATAATAAAAAGATATTTCATTAACAGGTTGGTACTGCATCCATGTGGGGACAATAGAAAAAAGTACTCAAATAGACATAGCAAATGGACTCTATTCTTATAAAAATAACCACAAATATAAAGAAATTATAATCAGAGCAACAGATTAAAATGACAAGGGGTGTAGAAAGATATATTTTAGATAACATAAACTCCTGTGACAAGCTATGCCCTAGAATTGCAGCCTCCAAACCTTTCCCATGATTTCCACCTTTCCATAGCCTCACTTCAAGTTCAAATGGAAATGGAAACAAAATAAAGTGGACAGGTGGTTGAGCCAGCCAAAGCTTCCAAGTCATGTTAGGTGGACAGCAAGACCAGGTGGATAGCATTTGAGAAATTGGCTGGACACAGGGGAGCTGCTAATGGTATTCATTTTTAATTTGGAGGAATTCCCAGTCCACTGATAAAGAGAGAAACCAAGGAACCAAATAACTTTTCTGGTAACATATAATACATGAGATGAAATATAATTCTCTAAGAGAGGACATGGTGGTGAGTCTGGAAAGAAAAGAGAAGAGAAACAGGCAGACTTTGGGCACCATCTCCCTTTGTTTTCTACAATACATTGGTTTTCTTCTCTTGTGGAGCATTCTTTAGGATTAGCTATAGACCCCAATGTCCTCCGAGTAAATATATGTCAGCTCAGCTCCTGACATGACATCCACGCTTACTGGCCTCCTGGAGGGCTGGGTGGCTCTGGAGGGTCCCTCCCCCGCTACCACTGCCCAGTGGCCCTTGCCTTCAATAAAGCAGAGAAGGTGTGCAAAGTTTCAGTGGCAGGGGTCTTTACATTAACTATCCCTAACTGACGACTAATTCACACAGATGGTTCCATATGGAAACAAAAAATAAACCAACAGAACTGGTAAGAGTTGAGCTTAGTAGCCAACAGTGTGAAGTTTTCTTCCAGGAAAAAAAGAAATGGTATCCGTCAGAAAATATTACTTTTGGTTTCTTTTAACTTTGAGTTGTCCTTGGTTTTTCTCTCAGTCAGTTGCTCCAGTTTAAAGGAGAGTTTAGAATCTAGTGCAAATATCATCAAATCACAGCATTCCAGGAGCAATATCCTGTCCCTTCATCCTAAGTGGATACTATCCCTTCAGACCTCCTCAGAAGACTGGGGCAATGGTCCAGAAAAGTGTAACTGAATAAATTATTAATCTAGTCCTCACTACAAGAAAGGCACTATCACAACAGATCAGCCTCCAAGCATTTTCCTTGCCATGGACATGGGCATTTCAATCACTCCGGCAATCACAACAAAATCCAGACTGTGGCTTTTTAATCTTGAATTCATTGGCCAGTTGTCTGACTCTCCCACCAGCCACTGCTGTTGGCTCTGGCCATACAGAAACCTGATCTGCACTGTGTACATGCTGCCCTATGTTTTACCAGTGACCCTTGTTTGGTTCTAAATGATTTAGCTCACTCTCTTCCATGGAAGTTTCTTTCTCTCCATCAGTCTCCAGGTCATGACTCTATTAAAGATAATTTACAGTGTCTAGTACTATTATTTTATTTTGTCTATTTTGTAAACCTATGATCAAATCCAAAGTCATAAAGATAGTTCAGTACCTCCTCTAATGACAAGGTCTCCTGTAAATACCACTGTGAACAGAAGGAAAACCAAAGTGTAATCCCTTGACCACCGAAGCATATCCCTTGAGCCTGTTGTAGAATTTTTGTCTGGGAGAGAGGAGGTTGGGCTCTGAAGATTAAAATCTTTGGTGACAGAACTGGAATGGATATGCAAGTTTCAAGGAAGAAGTGTCCCAAAGCCTCAAGAGAAGTATCCTAGGACAGTTAATGTGAATATATTTTAAAAAGTTGGCTGGGTGTGGTGGCTCATGCCTGTAATCCTAGCACTTTGGGAGGCCGAGGTGGGCAGATTACAAGGTCAGGAGTTCAAGAGCAGCCTGGCCAACATGGTAAACCCCGTCTCTACTAAAAATACAAAAATTAGCTGGGCATGTTGGCAGGCACCTCTAATCCCAGTTACTCTGGAGGCTGAGGCAGGAGAACTGCTTGAACCAGGACCCGGGAGGCGGAGGTTGCAGTGAACTGAGATCGCGCCACTGCACCCCAGCCTGGGCTACAGAGTGAGACTCCGTTTCAGGAAAAAAAAAAGTCAATAATTTCTTCCTGGAACTTTGGTTTGGTGCAGTCAATGTCCTCTTAGTGATTATCCAATAATGTATTAGTAAATACCTGTTAAGAGTTCTGAATTTAGTTTCTTATTTAAAACAGAGATAATGCTTTGAGGGCTTAAGAAATTTCGAATGCTAGTTTTGATGGCTCTAAATGAAGTTTTTCTACCTAACAAGGTTGACAATTTTCTGAACAATGTTTAAACTTGGAACAGTTGACTTGGACAGATAGTAAAGAAGAGAGAGAAAGAGACAGGTTATCAATGTTGTTGTAATCTTAGGAAAGAGGCCTCAATTGAGAATTTTCCAAATTGATGCCCCCACATGTAATAGTGTTCAGAGAAATTTAACATTAGCTATTGATATGGGCTGTGATCCTTTCCTACTGTGCCAGAACCTTCAAAACTGTCACTTTGGATTCTGGAAGTGTCCTTCAGCATCTTTACTCTTGTGTTATTATTTCCCATACAATCTATTGCTTATCCTGTGATGCAAGATTCTCTTATTAACAGTTACCAAAGAGCTGTCAAACTCTGATTACTTCTAAGATTAAAAAAGACAATAAAAATACATTTAACAAAGAAAAGTTAGGAAAAAAAACCCAATTTCAAAACTAAACTTTTAGGCACTATTTAGGTCTTCTGCTAAGTAAGGATAGTCTATGATGGAGCAGCTAGTATGTTCTAATCCATCCTCCAATCCTTCCTCCAATGTCAAAGTTGGCCTAGCTTGTTTCAAAATAAACCTTTTACTTCACTGGTTTTCAGTGTTTATTGCACTGTTCCCTATCTGTCATCTTAAAGGACTTTACCACATGCATGGCCTTCCTCTTTGGTTAGCCTGATCTAGGTTTCATCCAGGGATGGAGAAGCATACTCAGGCCAAAAGGGTAATTCCAATATGGACAAGGCTGTGTGTTTTTGAAAGGAGCACACACCACCGCCCTCTGCCACACTAAAATGTGCACCAGCATGGGGCTTTGTGCTGTAGGCCAAGGCAAAGGCTTCTACATCATATTAGTCGGCTTCTTCCCTATTAAAACTCTTACTGAGAGCTCAGTTGGAAACAACATTGGGTAAACTTTTTCTTAAATGTTCTTAATTTGCTGTACTAACTCAGTTTCTTTACAATAAGAAAACAGATCCTATCAGCATGGCAGTTCCTAGGCCTGATCAAGAGTTGACAGAGATTCCACAGTCTCACTAACCCTGCTAAGATCAAGCATGATGAAAATAACTCTGCATTTTAGTAATGCTCCTACTTTCATAACTTGCCTTTTTCTTTTCCCATACATAACCCACTCTCTCCCAGCACAAGTAAATACATTTCAGTAGTGCAATGCAGTGCAGTCATATTTAGTGCAAAAAAAGCCCTATTATAGACCCAAAACTCAACTCTAAACAGCTCTTACAAAGGTTACCAGTGCTACAAAAGTGGGAAATCCAGTCTACCTCACACTTCTGTGAGTCATCTCTTTTGTTGCTCCTGTGTGTTTCAGCACAAAGTAGAGAAACTAGAATGCACCTATGTATTTTTCTGTAAAACATTAAGCCAATAGGCAGGAAATAAAGGGAAGTAGTCTAGTTACAATCAAGGGTGTTATTTAGAAGAGGAAAACAGCTATTTAATGTAAAGGTCAGTAGTGGTTTTTACTTAATAGTTTTCATCATGTCAGATGGCTCTGATGCTAAGGGGAATGGGTACAAAAAAAGATAAAGCTTTCCTGTTTCTCAAAACACAGTCCTAAATTTAACAGTGCTGGGCTTTTATTTTTGAATAGTGCAATCAGCTATTCCTCAAGGGCTACAGGCAGCAGCCACCTTACATAACATAAACAGGTACACTAGGAGCACTCATTTTTCTACATTGACCATTTCTCCCCCATCATTAGTCTCCTATTCTCTCTTTTTTTTCTGACTACACATAGATACAGATATACAAACACATACACAGAAATTCTCAAGGCCCCTCTCAGAATGATCAATTGAAAATTGGTACAAATAGCTCAGTGACACACTCACAAAATGTACAATTATTAAATATAAAAGTGAATTATTACAGCAAAATTAAGAGTCTGTATTGTACCTCTTCTTGTGTTATTCCGAAGGAGAAAAAACATTCATAGTAGGATCTCTTAAGGAGCTTACTTCTTTCTTAAGATTAGTCTAGAATTAGTTTGGGATGTGGCAATATTGAGTGATTCTGGAAAAATGATTTGTATTTGATCATCCTCAGGAATCTGTCTCTTCAGTTTGTCTGGGTCTTCACCCTCCAAAGGTAAGTCTGCTTGTCTGCTCATGCCCACACATGCATGTTGTAAGTAAGTCTCAAGAGAACCAAAGTATAGTTTAAAATAAATTGTGGGAACAAAGGAATTAAGCATAGTGGGGACAGCACAACCAAATTACCTTAAAATTTCATTACCATAGATTTTCTCTATCATATCAGCTTCTCATCTTTGTTTGCCATGATGAAGATTACTAAGACACTGCTTTCATCTCCTCTGAAAACCGTAATTCTTTCAATAATAGTGCAGGAACAATTTTAATTAGATATATGCAAATTACCCTTAATTTATATCTCAATAGGCTCCTCAGGAAAACTAAGGTTCAAATAAATGGGCCTAAGAAAGAAGTTTAGCAGCTGAAAATACCTTTGAGAATTTTCTCTTACAAATCTACAGCTGGTTCCAGGTTAAAGTTGGTCTCAAGGAGAGCAAGGGCAGAGTAATTAGCCTTTGTTTTCAAAGATCCCCCTAGTTGAGAACAATGCATAAGCAGTTTGAACTGCAGGAAAATCTTATCTCAAATTTGAACTGTCATTTTATTTTCAGTGATCTCTCTGTACACTCCTCTTGTGCCTGGAGAGCACATTAGGTATAGGAGAAGTCAGGAGTTTCTACAGTTTCTCTAGATGGGTTTGGCAGCATTAAGAGAAATCTTTAATCACAAAGAAGTATAGTTATCTCACTAATTCTTTGAACTGTAATAATCAGAGACAGGTAAGAAGGACAAGGGGTGAGTAGTGCTAATGTTCTCTGGTAACCTTGACAACTGGCTTTAGGAATCCAGACCTGTATCAAATTTGGTCCCATCACATTGTCCTGTTCCCTCTCATTGCCTTTCCTCTGTTCACTTAATTGAAATTGCAATTATTTTCAAGACTGAGCCAAGAATGTCAATTAAGCACAAAAGACGGGTTACAAAAACGTTGTCCAGCTATCTGTTAATTGAGTTGAGTTGAAAACAGTATGCTTTCAAATGAAGTATTACAATTTTCTTTCTTTTTATTTATTTTTTTTAAGTTTCTAATTTGTTTTTTCCCTCCTTTGTGGTAGGGGTATAGATGGGTGAAGTACTGGCAATGCAGTGCCCATCTCCCTGTTACTGTTGCCTCCAATGCCTGGGGTTGGGGCAGGTGCAGGGGTGTGGGGAAGGAGGGAGAAGCAATGGGGAAACAGATGTTTCTCGATTTAAGACTTCATGGACACATATAGTCTTGAAATGGCTAGAAAAGAAACAACTACAAGGATAAAAATCAACAGATCGATTGATTTTGACATGTTAGCAGCACCTTCCTTTTCTTTCCTGGCTATCTTACAGTAGATATTAATTAGAAATATCCAAAGAGGAATTTAATTAAACTAATTTATTTCCAGCCTTATTCCAAAAAGGATTTGAGGAGGCAATAAGGATTTGTGGTTCAAAATGCATGATCTCCATCTGTAATCAATTTCCATTCTTTGGCCCCAGACCTATTGGTTTAGGTAAATAGGGTTTCTTTCTTAAGGAGTAGGTTTTTGTTTTAACTATTCTATCCTCAAAGTAAAGAGAGAATTTCTCTGTTAAAAGCTCACGAGTGCTATTTGAAAAGGAAGATAAGATTTTCGTGGAGGAAAAATTCCTTTAGAGCAGAATGGAAGGCTTTTCTAAGAGGGAAAATAATATAGTAAGGGTGAGCAGTTATTTGACTGTCCATAGACAGTATCAAATTAAGAAATAAATACCCTTTACAATCTTGAGAAGAGATAAAGAGAAACAAATAAATCGACAAACAAACTTTACTAAAATACACATTCCTCCAGTTTCAGATTTCTAAAAATTAATAATTATGCTTAAATCAAGGTTTACAGATAGCAAACAACTGTTTGAATGTGTGAAAGTATTATCCCTTTGCTTTACCATGTTTCACTTTCTTTGAAGGAATTGTATCTATGCACACTTGTCCTGAAGTCCAGTGCAGAAAATAAGCTTGTTTGCTACCAGCCTCAATCTCAGAACATTTCCTAAGCTATATTTGTATATTCTAGACCTACATATCTGTAAAATGTGATGCAGACTTTTTGAAATGCATGGTGTGTGTGTTGTTGGGGATGGGGGGAGCAAAGCAAGCTTTTCATGAAGAAAAGAAGAAAAAAAATCTCTTCCTATCCTCACAAATATTCTATTATTTTGATGCACTAGTTACTGTTAGGGCTATTGGTGCTCCTGACAGGTGTCAGCTTGGAAAGATAGGAGACTCATAAGCATCAATAAATTCATATCCTGGAGTCTCTAGAATATCAAACAAGATTTAGACATTAATCTGAGACTAACACAGAGGTTGTGGTGAGAAATCCTGGGTCTTGGGGTTGGAATGCTTCTTGGGGAACTAGAAAGAAAAGCGTCAAGAGGCATCTCAGATTAAGAGGACCAAATAAGATCTGTCAGAACCAGAGCCTCTCCTCCTCCATATTATACTTTAAATGATAGCATTTAAAAGGGTTTAAAAGAGCCTTTCTTCATTTGAAAGCCAGTGCCTAAGGAAATGAGAAGGAATACTTTAGATAAAGAGTACTTTTCGAAAAAAAATACCAGGAGTTAAAATAGACAAAGGAGAAGATAGGACTGATTGAGAGAACATTCCAAGTGAAGATCACAGTTCTACACAATGCAAATCCTGCTTTTAAGAGATGTTGTTTTCCTACTAGATGTATGCCTTATAAAGGCCTTCAAAACTGCTATTTATTTCATTGTTCTCTATGGTGTGCGTTGATGTTATAAAGTGGTTTGATTAAGATAAAAGCTGGGTCAAGTCAAATAAAAATACATTTCTGATATTAAGTGTCGATTCTGTCAAAGGGTAAAGCAAGAACTGAAAGTTCTATGCACTCAAAACCACATAGTACTCTAAATGTCACAGGACTTGTCTTCATTCAAGCTGAGAGACGATGTGGTATCGTGGCAAGATCACTGGACCAGAAGTCAGGAAAGACTGTGTTACAAAGTTGTTACGAAGGTGACATTATAAGCATCCTGAAAGAGATACACCCAGAATGGTATCAGTCAGTCTTTTGGGCAATGCTCAGACAGTTGTAATCCATTGCAGTGAGATCTAGCATGAAAACCAAATTACATGGTGTGTATTTAGGTACTGGGGAGTGTACTGCATGGCTCTTTAAGTATCCATTTAACCCTGTTATTATTTTATTTAAGCACATATTAAGTTTATGTTTAAGCAACCTCTCGTCGCAAAAACAGACGCTTTAGAAACTTTATGGATCTTCTCATACGTTAGTAAATTACTGCTCAAAGTTCTAAGCCAATCAATGATTACTTATTTTTTCCAAAGGGTAATAAATAAAAAAATTCTTTGTAATTTTTCCTACAATGTGTTCAAGTGGAAGTGGCTTTTCTTGTTTGAGAAGAGCTCACTAAGGCTTGAATAGTTATCAAAATTATTTTGAAATGTTACTCTTTTCTGTAGATTCCTGTAATCTAAAGTCTGATAAACAAGTAATTTGACTAGTGGAAACAGTCAACATGAATGATTTCTTTTTTTCTCCAGCAGATGTGGTTTACTCATATCAAGATTTTGAACACTGGGGTATTTTAAAAAACCAGAAAATATTTTTCTCTCATCTTTGGCCAAATGTGAAGGTAAGAGGAATTAATGACCTCAGCTAGTACACTTGACATTTAAAACTGTGACTCAGGTTCTCCCACTCTCAAAAGAATATTGATAACTTTTAAACTTTGAAGCTAAAATGAAGACATGCTTCACTCTGCCTACGAGTCTCAAGTTTATGAACTCACTCATTTTAGTGTTCTTTCATTAAATAAAGCTTAAAGAAAGATGTTCAGAAGGCTTGAGAAAGGAAGAGAAATGAACAGTCAGGGGTCATAATTACTAGAGGTTTGGGGGCAGTGATGAAGATGAACAGATATTTTGAAGTAGTCTTCAAGAGAAACAAGAATTAAGGGAAGGGGTTAGGAAAAGGAAAGAGGGAAAGAATAAAGTTGATATAATTTGGATATTATTTGATCCTTAGAGAAGAAGCAGCCTCACTTAACAGTCAATTCACAATTATGTTTGTCTAGTAGAAATATATCTGGTTGAACAGTTTGGAGAACAGATTGGTAGTTTTGCCATTAAACTAGACATTCACCCTTTCAAAGTAGACTAAGAGTAGGTCATTCCTTAGTGAATCCCAGGCTGGAGAGCACTGCAGGGAGCGTGGCTAACGTGAAAAGGGACTTGCTGGACAGGCACAGCCAAATGGGATGGGATTAGAGAACGAAAATCTATCAGGAAACATGAAAGGAAGGAATTCCTCAATATTCACACGGACAGGCCTTCCTATTGGTCCAGTGTGAGAAGGTCTTTTATACTGAGGTTTTAAAAAGCTCTCTTCATTTTGTCCTGAAGGTAGAAGTGAAGAAGGACACTAGTTTCAGGCACCCAGGATGGTGGAAAAGTTTATTCAACTGAGGCTTTCCATGCATTGGGTTGAATAGCCGAGGGAATTATCTGAAAGTATTTACTGTATAGGAAGACAGGATGCCTGATTTCTGCAGGTTCCTTGGTGGCCTAACTGAAGAAGAAAGGCACCAAATCCTCACTTTAATAGGTAAATGGAGATCCTGAGGGCTGGATACCCAAAAGCCACCATTTTATAGATTCTTCAGACTAAAAAATGTCTCAGATAGATATTTCTGAGTTATATTTCTATTAGCCTCTGTGGATAAAGAGTTCCTCAAACTCTGGTTTTAGTTTGAAAGAAAAAAAAGAAAAAAAGCTCCCAGGAAAATGAACACTATAGTGCCACAGGGAAAGATTGAAGACTAGTTAAAATAATTATAAGCATATTGAAAAAAGAAGTAGTGAAGAACCAGTATTAAGGGGAAAACTAGGCCATTCACTGTCTGACGCTTTTCAGAAGACTGGCCCTTTTAAATGTAGCCTGTTATTGTTGGTCAGATCATATCGCACTTAAGCAGCCCCTTGGTCATATTTTTAAAAGCAAATATAGACAGTGACAGTCCTACAGGGGAAAATCACAGATACATTCATATGCATTTCTTTTGTTCTTCAGATATTGAGTGGGTCAGCTAAACAAGATCATTTTGAATATGAACCTCTTTGTATTAGTCAAACCAACAAAAAAGTTTCAAAAAAAGTTTTCACTTTCCTACATTTGCTAAGTCTGAGCTTTAAAAAATTCTAAAATCCTCTAAAGACAATATTGAAGCTGATAATATAAAAAGCAAATTAGAGCAGTAATGATGATTATTAAATGCACCAGGTTAACCGCAGCAGGTTGGTGATGGGTGATATACGCAAAGACATAACATTTCAATCGACTCATGATCATAGGCAGATTCAAAAGTTAAAATGAATATAATGTGCTATATATTTCAATATAAAATTGTTATATATAATGTGTATGTCCTAGGTTTCAGAAATACTGCAATGTAGTGTATTGTACTTAAGTAAGCATACCTAAATAGTAACTCATATTCTTTCACAAAGTCACTAGTACTGTTAATTAAAAGAAAAAAAAACCAAAACGACTATGTTTTTTTCCAGGAAAAAGAAATACCTATGGTTACAGTCACAGACTTCTTTTGGATATAGAAAGACAATATACAATTTAAAAAAGTAATAACAACAAAAAAGTTGCAACTGTGAGTAGCCTTACTTAACAGGGGAAGGGGAAAAGTCACCAAAATAGAAGAGGAAGGAAAATGTCCTCTGACTTCTGTAAAGTCTACAATTCATAAAAAATAACAAACCATTTAGTAAAAGAAGAGAGCATGGGAGTGAGAAAACTGAATCCTGAATTCCAGGCCACCAAGCCTTCAGAGTCCATTCACTCAGTACATTATACTAGAGTGGCATTCTACTTTAATGTTTGAGATGGGCAAGAGCTATCAATTCTTAGAGATTACTAAAAAATATTCCCCCCCAATGGTCTATTGGTTTGCTAGACATGGTAAACAACTCACTCCTGGAAAGACTTTGGCAAAGGCCACATTGGTTTCAGGAGACACAGTTTGTGAATTATGATGGTATCCTTTGAGTACAAGCAGAATTAGGAAGCTTTAGTTTGGGAATAAAATTCGTGTGTGTGTGTGTGTGTGCACATGTGTGTGCACACTGGGTTGTCTAGAGGAAAGGAATGAAGGCCTTTGAGCTATGGGATGGCTCAGGCCAAAGTTTGTGTGGGCTTTGTCTGCCTGGCGTTGGTGCTCCCACCTCCAGGAGACTTGGGGAGGTGCCCTGGATTGCTGCTCCCTCTTGTCTGCTCACCAGTCGAAGACTTCTGTTCTACCTTCTTATGGAGGAAAACAGGCTGTCCCTGTGGGTTTGCTGTGGATTCAACAAGCTGCGTTTGTTTCTCCCAATTCTCAAACATTACAAAAAGCAACAGAGTGGGCAGGTGACTGCTTCCTGGGAAGGGAGCCACACGAGTCTTTAGCACAATGGTGGAAAGAGGCAACTGTATCTATGCATGAGGACCTCTGCCTGTGTGTGCTTCATTTGGGAGGCACACACACTCCCAGATGACAATAAGTATACATGCAAACACACACATGCACATACCTATCATTAAGTCCAGCAGAACTACAGAGTTTGTTAAATGCACTCTACTCCATGTGAACATATTCAAGTTTCTCATGAAAGGGATACATAGAAATTACCGATGGTTGGACTCCTTCAGATTGCCCTAAATTTCTCATCACAGATAGTCATGCACCCAACTAAGGCAACAAAGCAGAAGCAGACATGTGAGACATGTCAGACCTTTGACTCCTAACCAGAAATTCAAAAATCTATCTTGTTGTCACTGGGCAACATGAATGTGGAACAGTTTTGTGCTGAGAGCAGCTCACACTGTGTGTGCGCACGTATAAATAACGTACACTCAGTTACAGACATTTTGGACAGCAGCGGTGACATACTGGGTGGGTTAGGACTCTTTCACTACTAAAATCTACATATAAATTGCAATGATTTTGCTGCGTAATAACAACTGTTGCAACACTAGTAGAAGCAGATGCCCCCAAGGTTGTTGTTTTTTTCTCTTTCTCTCTCTTGGATGTATCAAAATCTCATTGAGGCATTTTGAACCAAAGAAACCTCTGAATTTGAAAAAGGGTTAGTAGGGACTTTTATACCCTCATTAGGCATTCCAGAAGCCTGGACTCTCAAGACTGTGGCTAGATTTTTCTCTCTAGATTATCATCTGCAGATTATAATCTTTCATTGAAGACTTGAAACTTACAAGTTTGCATTTAAACAATGAACCACCAGATAAAAGAGATGCTCTCTACAACTGAGGGAAAAAAAAGTTTACAGATATACACTGTATAGGGAAAGAAAGCTTTTTGCTGGGATTGTTCTCCTTGTTAAGGAAAGGTTTAAAACTAGTATTCCCAGGCACCTGTGATTACATTTTATAGGATTCTATTTAGTAATATGATGTCTATTTTACATTCAGCCCAACCTACATCACTGAAATAGAATAGGAAATAGCAGCCACTATCTGAGAGTACCAGTTCTAGACAAGTTTGGTGCCTCCCCAAGAAGTCACTATTTCCATAGTCCTCAATCACAAATAGAGCTTACTTTTGTGATAATATAACTATTAAACAGCAAGAAATGCCTGTATCTTCAGAGCCTTCTCATTTCTATATCATTTGTCCTCTTCCCAGGGCTTTCTGATTTAAGGCAATAATGCTATACAGTAAGTAGCCTCTTGCGAAAACACCTTAATTGAGGTCACTTAAGATTAGATTTTAGTATGAAAGTCTACAGTTTATGGAGCAACAAGTGGGGCCTCAAGAAACCACTGGAATGGCAGGTGTTTTAGTCAGTGCTGTGGAAAGATGATGGTTCCTGTTTCAACCCAGGCCATTTTTACCCCTCATTCAGTGAGGAGAAAATACATAGTTCTGAAAAAGAACCCACAATATGCAGCCCTCATTTTTTACCTCTTCACTCTAAAAAGCATGAAAACAAGCCCTACCATTCCATAATCATTCCCAGGGATCTGCTAATGTACACTGCTGACTGCTATACTCAGTGTTGAAGGAGAAAAAACATCTTCAGAGACTTAGAAGAGTCTTTGAAATATTTTGGTCAGGCTGATCATCTTGATACTCAGTGCTAGAAATGATGCTTTGGATTAGTAATTTTCACATTCTGAGTTTACAGGAACACTGAGTCACCACAGCCTTTTCTCTTGTAAAGGTTTAAGTGGCATCAGAAATAGCAACTCTCCACAGAAAGCCCTTGGGAATATGAAAATATTCTCTCTCAAGAGCAAGAGCTCTTCTACGCCCCTTTTCTGCCTCTATACGCAGCCCGAGCACCAGGGTAGAGACTGCTTTTGAAAGTTTGCCCCATGTAATCTATTTCTTGGGTACCTAAGAGAACAACCGTTTTCTTCATGAAAACACAAAGAGGGGAAAGAGGCTGCTGCTGTTCCAGTGGGAAGTTATGTCTAGCCCCAGAAAGCCTGGTGGCTAGGTCAGCTCAAGTACTCTCTTCATGTACTGCAGGCTCAGGAGGCATTGGGTTGCTTTGCTTTTGCTATGGAATTAGGGAGCCTATTGAAATTCTAGTGCACCCTTCCTTTTGTTTGTCACCAAGTCACATGGTTCTGTCTTCAGTGTCCTATTTTTCTTAATTTCTTTTTCTGAGGAAAAAAAATGGCCATTTAAATAAAGTTCTTTTCTAGTGAGTAAAGAGGTTTCTCGGAGCCAGAAATCACTCAAAAGAGAGTCTGTCGAACCTACCCATGGAAAAGCTCAGAGATTTCTCTAACTACTTCTTGCCAAACTTCCTAGTTTTGTAATTGGATGTTTCTTGGTTTAGCATTGTTTGGTGCTGAATATATTTCTGCAATTCTTTTGTTCTCTGCCCTAGAGCTTCCATTACCCTGGACTTCGACTCATTACCAAATTAAAGAATTCTTTTAGAAGATTTCTTTTAAGAGTCAGGTCACAACAGAAAGGGCACCATCCTGTCCTAGATCTCAAGGGCATCTCAGGTTGTGTGTGCTCTTACGTTGCACCTTCCCTTTGTTACCTTTTGATGCAGCAGCACACTGGCTATAGCAGAGGCAAACCTGATTTGATAATCTGATACTTTTTCCGCAGAATCATATATCCCCTGCTCCCAGCCCCAACTAATCAAATCACATCTTCTAGAACAACAGAGGAAGGCTCCAGAATGGGTGTTTATCCTGTGACTCCTGGGCAGATCTACCTTGTGCCCTGTTTTCCCAGGGGTCACAGGTGTTGGGAGCATTATGAAGGAGCTCCAACAAGGAAGCGACATAAGCCTTTATTATGCTTTTTCAGGAATTGAAGGGGTTTTATTAGGGGCATATCTCATTTTTGACTTCTGTGCTGAGAGAAACCATTGAGTTTTGGGCACGGGCAGAGCATAGACTGCTGGTGTGTTTGTGTGAGGGAAGTACACGTAGCTCAAGGCTTCAGGACTGAATGTGAAACCAACATACCTGGAGGAAAACTTTTCTCTTTTCATTATCAGAATTCACAAATTCTTACTGTTCATGGGTTGAAAAAGAGTATTTTTGGACCTTATAGAATATTTTGGTGATACAAAATAAAACTCCTAGGACTTTTAAACAAAGCAAACCCAAGTCTTTCTAAGGCCAAGAGCTACTATGATTTCTAAGATGACTAGGAGCTAGAATATGAGCAGGAAATCATCCAGCACACTTAATCATGGCACAAATAGATTCAAAGCATTAGGAATCTGGGAAGAGAACAGGCTATGAAACTGTTACTAGGAGCTAAAGTTTACCACTCAGTTAAAATATACAGGAAACCATTTTGATACAGAGATTTTCATTTCAGATTTTTTTTTTTTTTTTTTTTTTTTGCTTAGCTTATTTCTCAGATTTCCCCATGTGTAGAGTTGTATCAGATCCAGGTGTTCCAATTTTTTTTTTAAGGATTACATTTCACACATTTGGGGGCCTTTGTTGTACAAATATTGGCATTTAATAATGAAAAATTGCCCATGATGCTGAGATAATACCAATGTTTTTAATGCTAGAAAATAATATTTTAAATAAATTGTATCTAAATATCTTGAGAAAAAAATTTCTCCTTTGATTTTTTTTCTCCTTTCCCTTGTTTGGCAAGTTACATTTTAAAATTATAAATTGCTAAAAAATTTCCTTTCCAACTAGTTCTTCCTCCTTGTACTCATCCTAAGAAGTCTTAAATCTGGAACATCTGCTTTTATCTTATCTATCTTTTTCCTTGCTACTAAAAAGAAATTTTTTTAACACTGATATCATCCTAGCATGAAGGTCTAAATGTAAGAAGACCGTAGGACTTGAAACAAAAAAACCCCAAAACATTAAAAAGATCCATACTCATTCTCTGATTCTGAAGCAAAATATCTTTCTCTATTTCCAAAGATATTTGTGATTGTTTAATTTGAAAGTGAGGATTGACAATCTAAGAGCATCTCTATCCTTTTGAAACAGGTCCAGACTGGTTTACTTCCTAAAATGTGGGTCAGTTTGGAAAGTGGCCATTTGAAAGGCCAAGAAAAAATAAACAACTACCTTTTTGCTCCTCTAGATTAGCTCTCCCACTTCAATCCAGCTTCTTCCTCTCTCCACAGAATAATCTGTCAGCTATTTTAGAACATGACACGTTTGGAAAGGATAAATATACAGTAGGAATATGTCCACTGCTGTGCAAATCTGGCTGGTCCATTTTGTCATGGACTACAGTGATTCTATCACCTTGTTAAGAATTCTTCAGGGATCCTCCTCTTACTCTTTTTTTTTAGAGACACTTCCTTTTCAGGGAAAGGATGATAGAATCCTTAGGGTTTCAAGTCACCTGCAGCCTTTTCTTTATCTTTTGATCTATCAAAAGAAAAGCTGGATTCTAACCCAATTGCTTAGCATTTTACATGGCTAATCAGCATTAAGGCAAATGGGTCTCCCTCAGATTTGAGAAACAGATAGCTACATGTGGCCCATAATGGCACCTAAGATCAACTTTTCTGGAGGTATTAATGAAAATTCTTCCTACTTTGCTAAATTTGAACAAAGACACTTTCAAATCCACTACTGTTAAACAGTTAAAAATATTTTAAAGTGGCTTTTGGCCTTCTTTCATTTGTAACATGTATTGAGTGATTTCATGTCATTGTCTTCTAGCTTTAAGAGTGTTTTTTTCTTAAGGTCAAACTTTTTATTTTATGGGTGGAATCATTTGTTTTCCAAAATATCCAGAAAATTCCATGACATAGTTAATTAACTAATGCTCCCTCTATTGGTGGTAAGTGGAAATATTAGTCTTACAACACTTATTTTGAAAAGCAAAATTAGCAATGGAAAAACAAACTTACTTTATTTTGGAAGCTGTTCCTCACTAACTGTTAAAACAGGTCCGTTTTGGACACATAGTTCTTGGTAAGACTCCTCTTAGAAATCATGATAGGTTATACTCAATAGTCATTTAACTACCCAAGTTTACATTCAAACTTGTAGCAAAATACCCACTCAATTCAGCACTGTGGGACCGAATCAAACTCACAAACACTTCAGTTACACTAACCTTACTAAGCATCACAAAGAACTTATGAAAAAGATCCAAGTTAACCAAATGTCTAAAATATATGAATAAAACCAATTTAGTCATTACAGAGTTGTTTGTGTTGGAAGATTTTCTCTCGTTTGCTGCACAGTTTTTGTAAATAAAATGCTGACAGGAAAATTAAATTAAAATGCAATGTAATTTTGAAACTAACATACTCTCTCCTTTCTTCTTTTTAAAACTGTAGTTTGGTGTTTTGCTTTGTTTAAAGATTTGCTTTCCCCTAAGTGTGTTAAAATATGCTCAGAAATGAAATCACTTTGGGAGTTTTAGTTAGGTTTAAGAATTCCTATATTTGAGCTGGAATCCCTTCAGGACACTGTCTATAATGAAAATATCTCTATTATAACACCTTCATCAGGACCGAGGAGAGAAATCCCAACTAGGGAGAGAGAGTGGCATCTGGTCTGATGCAATAGATTGGTGGCCTTTTGAATGGTGGATGTTGGCATCTGGGAATTTTTTGTTAATTTCCCCAAAACATTTCTAAGAAGCAAGGGTTAATTAGTCATCTAAAGAATGATCGTCTTATTTAGCCCTCTTAACCATGGTGGAAATAGTCAGAAGGTGATATTTGAAAGAAAAAAAGTAATTTTGGCATCAATGGATCTTGATCTGTAACAGGCTTCTCATAATGACGCTCTTTGTAGTTGGGAAGGCTGAGGAGCTATGGCAGAGTTTTGTGAACTCCTCTTCCTGGCTGATCACAAAAGAAAAGACCCCATTTATCAAGATTTCTAGACTACTGGTGTTTCACCAAGAAAAAAAAGTAAAATCAATAGAAATTCTAGAATTGTAAGATCTCAGTGAAATTTTGGAGAAGCAAGCAATCTCTTTCTGAAAGATACAGTCTCTTCCATGAAAAAGAACAGAATTCTAGATGAATCAGTTGAAAAAATTATTCGGTGGGGCAACTCAAGCTTGCTGAAGTCAAAGAACTACATATCAAAATACAAAGCAGCAATTCAAATTACAGCAGGGATGGGCTGGCCACAGAGGCCCTCATCAACCCAGGCAATACTTAAAATAAGAAAAATTAAAAAAAATATGAAGAAAATATCCTTCCTCTCTTTCAAATATAACTTTAGTTGCCTTTTATTCTTTCTATCTGGAAGCAGTATCGCTAACCTTAACAGTCTTGACTTACCAAAAAATATATATATGTGTGTGAAATAAAAGAGAAGGAATTGGTGGCAGTGTATGCAAAACCAAAATGAAAAAAATTACCTTTAACAATTTCACTTTTTTTGTTTTTTTTTACACAAATACTGTTGTAAATATATTAAAAAAATCAGCATTCTATCTGGTAAACGTCACTTTTGCCCCTCTATAAAATTTTGAATTAAAAAAGCCTCAAGAACTTTTATTGTTCCCCCCACCCTCCATTTCTCTTTCTTTTTCTCTTCCACAAGAATATATCTTGACACTTTTTTTTTTTTTTGCAAAGATTGTTGGAAATAATCCTTCTCTTGTACCTAAAAACATAGGTGCAAATTTCTGATATCTTTGTTTTATCTGCATTCCTGCCTTTCATGAAAGTCCCTCTTGATTGTGCTGAGGCTGTGGCTCAGCGAAGACACTGAATAAATACGATAGCCACTGTTGCTTGTTGCTTGTCCGAGTCTTCCTGGCTTCTGCTGCAAGGGGGGATATGGAGAAGGTGGGCCAGGGTGTGTGGACCCGGGCAGAATCTGGGGGAGAAGCCTGCCATTCGTCTTTCTTTCCCACACCACCGAACCCACTGCCCTTCCCACCCCCACAGCCCTTTTATGAAATCAGACAACGTGGTAGGCGGAAAACAGCAGGGCCTTTCCTCTGGATTTTCAACCAGAAGTGATATTCCACAGTTTTAACTGGTTACTGTGAAGTCCAAGCGGCCAGAATTGTGAAAATGTCCACTGAAACACTGCAAGCGGTGTACTTAAAGACAGTAGGCCTTTTAGATTTTGTTATATATTTTTTGTAGTGCTCTTCACAAGTGGAATTTTTTTTTTTTTACTTTTTTTTAAAAGATTTTTTTGTAAAGAAGGGTTGTATTTAGAGGCCAGTAGCTAGAGATCCAACCAGTGGACCTCTTGAAGCACTACCGGGCCTTAAGGCCACCATCCGAGGGAGACTGGGAAAACTATTATTCACCCGAGCCTCCAGAAATGTAATGTACCAGCAGGCAAAAAACAGTTCTTCATGTAGTACAAAATGAAACGAAACAAAAACAAAAACAGAAAGTAAAAATGAAACCAAAACATTTCTTAAATTCTAGTGCCATAGCTTTTTTGTTTGTTTTTTGTTGTTGTTTTGTTTTGTTCATAAGAAAGAGAGAAAGATACTACTTATCCGTCAGACACATGCATCCTCATGTGGTCGTTGAACTGCTCGATTTGGTCAAACTTTGCTGGACAGACGGAGCAGACGTAAGTGGTCCCCTCCGTGCAGGCCACCACGCCTGGGGGGCCAGCGCGGGCACCTGGGGGTGTGCCCGCAGGAGGGGTCCCATTGCTGGCACTGTGCAGGGCCACGTGTCGCTCCAGGAGGGTCTTGTGAGAGAACTTCTTTTTGCAGATGTAGCACTCGTAGGACTTCTCTCCCCGGTGGAGGCGCATGTGCACGTTGAGGGAGCTCTTCTGGGTGAAGCGCTTGTTGCAGATACTACACTGGTATGCCCGCACTCCTGTGTGTGTCACCATGTGCTTGATAAGGTAATCCTTTAAGGAGAAGGAGCGCCAACAGATGCTGCATTGGTGGGGCTTCTCACCTGTTGACGTAGGAAGAGACAGCAAGCAGGACAGAGCGAGACATAGCAAGGGACAGAGAATGAAGGACAGAAAAACAAGACAACAAAAAAGAAAAACAAAAAAATTAAAAAAATAATATCTGATCCCTTAATGGATCATCCTTGATTGGAAAAATCCAGGCCCTCCTAGCCTCTCATGTGCAGGGAAATTTTGCTTTATGGTGAT